TGGGGGGGGGGGGGGGTGGGGGGGAGGGGATGGAGGCCCCTGCAGTGAGGGACAGAGTGGGCAGGGGCTGGGGTGAATGAGGACCCAGCCAGGCCGGGTGGTGGGACAATCAGAGCCTGAGTGGCTCATCCAGGGGCGTGGGGGGGCTGCCGCTGCCGCTCGCTGCCGTGCGTACCCCGGTGGAGGCCTAGGAGGCATGTGTCCCCCCATCTGTGTGTAGGGTGGAGGCAGATGTTGCTGTGTGCTGTGCTTTGCACCTTGCTGCCCCGAGAGCCATGCGACACCACATGTGTCCTGCTGTGGGGTGGGCAGGGGGCATGGTGCAGCCTGGTGCCAGCAGGCATATTGCGTCTCACCATTCCCAGGGCGGCTGCAGTGGGGTGCAGAGTCCAGCGCGCAGCGGCAGCCGCCTCTGCTCCATGCATAGATCGGGGGGCATGTGCCTCTGCCGGGGTGCGCGCAGCAGCAGGAGCCTGCCTGGACTCCGATTGTCCCACCACCTGGCCCGGCTGGGGCCCCATTCACCTCCGCCCCTGCCCCTGCCCCTGCCCCTGCCCCACTCCGTCCCACACCATGGGGACCTTGATCTGCATCTCCCCCCATCCCAGCCCCTCCTCCTTCGCCGAATCTGCTGGTACTTGCCTGCTGTGCTGGGTAGCCAGTGATCCGCACGTGGGGCTGCGATCCTGGCTGGGTGTGGGGCCCACACCACCCCTGCTGCAGCTGCCCAGAGCCCATGCCCGGGCTGCCTTACAGCCCTACCTGCTGCCCCACATTCAGGAGGGCTGAGCCCTGTTTGCCCTGGCCTTCCACCACCTGTGCTGGGTAAGAGCCCGGATGCCTGGGCTCCAGCCGAGCTCAGGGAGGGGAACGGGGTGCAGTGGGTGCAGGGCAGGGGTAATTCCTTTTCCCCAGGCACCAACTGGATGGTAGAGATCCTGAGCCTGATCCGCTGCGACGGGGACCCCAGCTGGGTGCGCAGTGTGCTGAACTGGGATCGGGCCCCCTGGATCGAGAGCAAACAGAGGCTGGAGGTGGCCCTTAAGTACCCATCGCCACGGCTGCTCACCTCCCACCTGCCCCTCCAGCTCTTCCCCAGGTCCTTCCAGGGCTCACGGGCCAAGGTGAGGGGGGTGGGAAGGGGGCTGCATGTTGGGAGTGAGGGTCCTGGCTCTCTCAGGTCCAACAACCCCTGCATACATCGCAGCTCTGTCTCCAAACCAGCCCAGGTCCCTTCCCCTGATGCCCTTCCTGGGGGGGCTCCAACACCTCTGCTTGGGTTTGGTGACCACAGGGCCTAGACTCGCACCCACAGCTCTGGATAGGATGTCTGCAGGGTGGGCACAGCGTCACCCCAGTCTCTGCAGGAAACACTTCACCCCATCCAGCCTGAGAGGATATCCCACAGGACCCATCCCAGGGGGTCCCAGAAGAGCTGCACTGTGACCCCCTGCAACCTGACACCCCTGGTCACCACCACCTGCTGCCTACCCCATCACCCAGCTCCTTACATGGCACCAGTCCCTGTCATCTCCCAGTGCTTCCCCATGTCCAGACAGATGGGACTCGTTGCATTGCTCTTCTCTTGTGTGTCAGGTTGCTGGGCTGGGGGAGCCCCCAGGGGAGCCTGACTCCACCTGCTCTGGGTGACTCCAGGCCTTTGTGGTTCTTTCCTTTGCCTCTTGGAGCTGCCCAGCTCACAGGAACAGGCCTGGATGGGCCCTGGACAGGCTTTCCCTCCCACCCACAGGCACATGCCCCATTGCAGGGCCCTGGGCAGGTCCAGTCACCTCAGGGCACATGGAGGGCAGGGTTCGCAGTGGCTGTAGGAGGTGCTGAGCCCTGTGCCCCATTCCCCAGGTCATCTACACCCTGCGCAGCCCCAAGGATGTGCTGACCTCGCTCTACCACTTCTCCAAGGCCCTGCGCCTCTACAAGGACCCCGGGCCTGTGGACGCCCTCCTGCAGCACTTCCTCAGTGGCAGCCGTGAGCAGTGCCAGGGGGTCTCTCTCTACGCCCAATACATGCAGCCCTGTCTTACCCTGGGTTTCATGGGAGCACCCACTGCATTCAATTTGGGAAGCCCCCTCTCCAACACGGCAGGGTAACAGTGCCCCTGGTCCCCACCCCAGAAGCCCCAGTCTTTGCATGTCACCCAGCACCTCCCCGGGAGACTCACCACCACCCTTGGGGACAGGCCTCCAGGCTCCTCTCACTCTCCGGGCAGGCAATGGCAGGGTGGACTAGTTCTGCAGGCTGTGGGCTACTTTTACAGCTGCTCTCTCCCCATGCAGTCTCCTTTGGCTCCTGGTTTGACCACGTGGCTGGCTGGCTGGGCCTGCAGGGCCAAGAGAACTTCTTCTACATCACCTACGAGGAGCTGCAGCAGGTAGGACTTGCCACAGCTGGGTGAGATGCACTCAGCCAGCCCTGACTCCTTGAGGTGCACTCCTGGGTCTGAGCCCATTGGTACAAGTTCAGCCCTCCCCACGTCAGGCAGAGCTGTTCTCTTCCCCCCAGGACCTCCGGGGCAGTGTGGGGAGGATCTGCCACTTCCTGGGGAAGGAGCTAAGCGAGCAGCAAATATCCTCGGTGGTGGAGAACGCCTCCTTCCAGACCATGCGGGAGAACCAGATGTCCAATGGCTCACAGCTCTCTGACACAATCATGGATCACCAGAAGGGGCAGTTTCTTCGGAAAGGTAGGCACCAAGCTGGATGATGGGGAGCTACAGGTCAGGAGTGAGGAGCACCGGCAGAGCTGGGGGGCTCCAGGGCTGGCACCTGAGGTCTGGGCTCTTACATCCTGCCTGGCTCCGCAGGAGTCTGCGGGGACTGGAAGAACCTGCTGTCGGAGGAGCAGAGCCGTCGTGTCGATGCCATGTACCGGGAGCGGATGCAGGGGCTGGGCATCACCTTCCCCTGGGACTGACACCCACCCCCCCACCACCACCACCCCAGACTCCTCTATTCAGCCCCACCCCAGATCTGAGCCTCCACCGCCCTCCCCTGGGGAAACCACCAGCTGCTGGAGTCTGTGAGAGTGCGCAGGGGCCTGGCAGCTCCCCCACAGCCTGCCCCAGAGAGGCAGCTGGTCTGGGTTTGCCTCCCGCCATCCCCATCCAGAGCTCTGGGTCCCTCCCCAGCCCCATTCAGGTCATCCATCAGGAACCAGCAGTTAGCTGCTGGCAAAGGCAGATGGATCCTGTTTGAACGCATGTGACATGCACGGCACAGGGCTGTGGGGTGGGACACGGCACTGAGGCATCGTCGTCTCTGTTCCTGCCGGCGTGGGCATGACTGCCAGGCTGGATCCGGGGGGCAGTAGTGCAGTTGCACCCCCTTAGACTCCTGCTTCCCCCAAACTTTCTAACTGCTGGAAGGGGCAGAGGCGTTTCTGTTCGGGCACCGCCGAGGGAATGAATTGATTTTGTGGCTCATCTCCCTGATTCCTGCTAATCTTTCTCTACTCCACACATCTGAATGACCCACTCTCCTTTTCAGTGCTCTTCATGTTCCTCTAATCAAATTATCAATTCTCCTGCAATTCTGCTGCCTGTTCCCCAGTCCTGGGCATGTCCCTCTTCTACTATATTAGTTTTAGCTCTAGTTAAAAACCTGAACTCTGGTGTGGTCCTGTTAACTCAGGCATAGAAATGACTGACAGTGAAGGGTTGGAGGCTCTATCGAGACACTTGAAAGCCTGGATTTTGTTTTATGAATCTACGTAAGAGGTGTATCTATTATTAGAGTGACTACGGGACAAATGACACCACATCATTTTCCACTTTTTGCCCATTTCTTATGGGGTTTTTTAAATTGAATATATAATCTAGCAAATTAATGCACGGACTAATGAGTGTATTGTTTTTGGTTTGGTTGTCTAACCCCCAAAGCATATTAGGAAAGCTTCTAGTCTATCTTTAACTGGAGGAAAATCTGTGCTGTTTTCTTTGTGAGGATGCACCACACCTCCTGCACCCCACCTGCACTCCTAGATCTGCCTATTTGTAACTGTCCTGTGCAAGTGTCCCCAGAGCACCTCCTGCCCCGAGCAGACCCCCATGGCCCCCCATGGGAATTAACTGGGTGGCATCGGAAGGGCCAGAGAAGCCTGAACCTCACTTCTGGCAGTGGTACCTCCTCTCACGGGAGCCTCCTGCCACCTCACTATCCTATGTAGAGGTGCCTGGACCCTCTACCTCCTCCAGCCAGCCACATAGCAAGGACCCAGGGCTCACAGGTCTCAACAGCTCAGGGCTGCCTGTAATACATGCAGAGGGTTGCTTCCCTGCAATTTTAAAATAAATTGAAAATATACTTTGCATAAATATACCACGCTGTTTCCGCTCAGTTCCCTCAGCCTTTCCTCGCAAGTCACATGACCCAGCTCCTGAACTCTCTTTATTGCCCTCCACTGGACTCTCTCCAATTTGTCCACATCCTTTCTGTAGTGGGGGCCAAAAACTGGACACAGGACTCCAGATGTGGCCCCCCCAGTGCTGAATAGAGGGGAAGAGTCACTTCTCTTGATCTACTGGCAACACACGCACCAATGCAGCCCAGGATGCCGTTAGCCTTCTTGGCAACAAGGGCACACTGCTGGCTCATATTCAGCTTCTTGTCCACTGTCACCCCCAGGCCCTTTTATGCAGAGCTGCTGCCCAGCCAGGCAGCCCCCAGCCTGCACTCATAGATTCATAGATGTTAGGGTCGGAAGGGACCTCAATAGATCATCGAGTCCAACCCCCTGCATAGGCAGGAAAGTGTGCTGGGTTTAGATGACCCCAGCTAGATGCATATCCAACCTCCTCTTGAAGACCCCCAGGGTAGGGGAGAGCACCACCTCCCTTGGGAGCCCGTTCCAGACCTTGGCCACTC